TTCTTATTTTGGGAAGTGTGACTATTGTGCTTTCTGTAAATAGGTATCAGCTACGAGAAATCTGGTATATGGAATAGCCATAAATGAAATTGCCTCAAAATATAAAGAAAGAACAGAATCTTGTGAATGCCATGAAGTGAAAATGGGTTCAGTGAAGTGACAAACGAGGCAAAAAAAGGTGAGTAGTAACAAACCAAATCGAGACCACAAAGGATAGATCAGTGGTACCGGGGTCTTCCCACCCCTCAGTAGGGCATGGGTTTGAGTGAAGATGTCCTTAGGTCAATTTATCCCATCTGCCATCTTACTAATTTATGGCAACAAGAATATGCACCTTGCTTTGGCATGGCCATCTGAAGTTTTATCTTAATATCATTGGCCTTAGACTCCTTGGAGTAACCTCAGGATTAATTGAGGTTAATGATAGCCATATAGTGAATTATAAGTGAAGCCTGTTATTTGGGAAAGATGGGAGTAACTGCTCAATGCATTGGTTTCTTTTGAGACATCAAATATTTGGAATAATTCGTCTTAAGTTTGCTATACGACTTTTTGTATAAATAGTATGTACTATATATAGCCTAGCTGTATAGGGGAATCGGTGGGTGCTGGGCAGGCCTGTATCTTTGCCCTTTGGCTTATACGCTAAAAGTGCTTTTTTTAATGAACAATCCTAGAGGCTCAACCATGGTGACCCTTAATAGGGGTTCATGTTCCTTAAATTCGAGATTTGATAGCAATGCAGAAGAAAGCATATTGAACATTTTTCACAGGTGTGCCAGGTTTGCAAGCTTTTGTTTCCCAGGAAAGGTGACTGTGACAGGCCAAACCATTGAGGAAAGCAATTTAATTTCAAGAATTGAATCATCACGGTGTCGTTATTGATCTGGTTTCCAAAGGTGAAGGCAGAGGTTTCTGCCCTCAGGGGCAGTGGTTGAGGGCTGGGGGGCTCCGTGTAACTTTTTGGGACTTTCCCTCTGGGCTCTACTGCAATGGGTCACTTGAGGAGTTTTTAAATCTTGGTTCTCTGACATTACCAGCTCTGACCCTTCTTGTCTTTAAATTATTTTGGAGGAAGATGTTGATTAGTATAAAATTGTAAAATCATGATATGATTTAGAGAAGCTTGAATACAGAGTTTGGAGCATGAAATTTGGCGTATTTCTTAGGGTAGGCATCAGACTTTGTCTTTAAGGTGCCCTTGGTTCATTGGAATTGGAGATCATGAATTGGACCAATATCTAGTTATGAAATTCCCAAGAATACAGAGTCGAAGATAAGAGGATTTATTCCAGTTTTTGTGGTTGATCTAGACATATCAATCTTGAAATGAACATAAGTTTCAAATATGCCTTTTGGAATCACGTAATTTAGATTATTCGAGGGCTCAAAAAATGGGTAGATCTCCATAGATAAAGAGTGGAAAAATAGCATTACTACAATGCAAGATTACATTGGAATTTTTTTTGTTCGGTGGGAGCAGGTGGGAGTGGAGGGGTTGAGAGAGAGAGAGAGAGAGCAACAAGACCAAAATGAGAGACAGAGCCTCCATAAGATGTTAGATGCTTGATCTATTAGACCTTTGCCACCTAGCCTAGCTGGTAAGATCTCTAGGTAGTCAGACAAGAGACCTGGGTTTGTATCCCACCATCATCCTAGAATGTGAGGCGTTTGTGTAGTGTGGGAGGACTACCACTGTGTCACCTAGTCATTCGACAAAAAGTAAAATAAACTAGAATGAAGAAGTTAGCACCTATACAAAAGAAACTGCAAAAAATAACCAGTCCAGGTGATTCTGTTGAAATAAAAGCAGGCAGGTATAAATACATGAGTCATGCAATCTACATTACAGGTGTCACCAGAGAGCTTTGACGCTCAAATCTGAGCTCCATATCAATGACTGTGCCTAAGATACCTACATTGTCTAGGTATTTTCATTCCCACATGAAGCATCAATTCTGACTTTCAACATAAACAGTCATGGCCTGGTATTTGAATAGGATGTATTCTAGACACCTCATTACTGCATGCTGAACATATCCTGGTTTCTTTTATTTTTTATTTTTTCAGAATGTTTAGATTCTTGAAGTTGTCTGTGAATTTAACCCTCAGTAAGCAACAAGGTGGTTAGGTATTCTTTGCAGTAGTGCATGTTGGGTTGTAGTCTTGTAGATAAAACAGCATGTTGAAATGCCACTGCCAACAAACAATTGACTTTAAGATGGATCAGTGGCGGCGTTTAAAGAAAAAATACTAACAAGAGATGAATGCACCATGCATAGCTTCTGAAGGCACCATTTGAGATCAAGTTGAGGGAGACTTGCCTCAGATTGATTGATCATGGGTATGGAGCACCAATAATTGCTTCAGTAAGGACTATTTTTGTTGAAGTCGTTACTGTTACTGGGTTGAGGTGCTGGTAGCCACAGACAAAATTGGATGATTAGGAAGGATTTTTGTGGCCCAGTGAAAGGGGGTGACTATACAAGTTGGACGGACTGTTGAGGTGATAGCCAGTAGCCACACACAAAATTGGATGATTAGGAAGGATTTCTATGGGCGGACTCTTAGTTAGTTTTGGGTTGTTTCGTAGAAAAGTTCGAGTCAACTTTAAAATTTGAAGAGGATAACACATCCTTAGAACTCAAAAAATTAAGCATCTCTGAAGTTGATTGCACAAAACAGAGATAATGTAGCAAACTAATTCGCAGACAATAGACATGATGGACACACATCATTACTTGCTACCCCTGAGCTTAGCCTAGCTTTTCAGGTGCACTAAGCATTGCAAGTTACGCCTGGCATGCTATATTGGTTTCTTCAGTGAAATGATTAGTGTGCTCAAGGTTGCTCAGCTTGCATCTGTTTTATTGTCCCTCCACCAGAAAAAGAAAGTTGCTGAAGATGGGCAAACCATTCGTCGAGCTGTGTAACGTAAAGAATAATTGAACTTGAGCTCTACTCAGCTTGGTTTAGTGCTTCCTTCTCAACCAAGAAAAAGAATAGTCGCCAAATCAAAAGGAGTTACCCACCTTATGGATTGCTTGAAGTTGCTTACCATATTAGTTTTGTTGAGACTTGGGAGAATTTTGTGACATATACACTTGTAGGCGAGTGATGTGGAGTCCTTACAGTTGTTTAACCTTTGTGTAACTAATGATCATATTGGTTCAGTTCCTTGGTATGTGGACTTCTGTCGTGTATTGTTGCTTTCCCTCTCCAAATTATATAGGTTACAATGTCAGTCCAGTAGAAATTGAACTCCACCAGTCCAACCAGTAAAGTTTGGTTGGAAACTTTTTGGTGTATTTGCTTAAATTTAATTTTGCATCATACTTTTGGGAATGATCGGGAGTCATTGTCTAGTGCATTGGTTAGGTGCTCGGGCTAACAACCAAAAGTTCGTGGGTTCAAACAGCCACTTTGTCAAGTAAATGCAAAATCTTAGGTTTGTATCTAGTCCATCCCCCTGAGTACCTTCGGTTATTGGGATTTGGGAGTTTGGGACCAAAATGGGTAATGACTTTTTTTGTTTCTAACATTTGGAAATGATCATAGATTTGAGCAGGGGTGGAGCTACATATACATCTGCGGGGGCGGTTTCCCCCATTGACTTTTTTGGGGTATTATCCCATATGTATTGTTATAGAAATAAAATTATGTTTAATTTAGTTTGTAGCTAGTAACTCAGTAACACAAATAGATATAGTAACCCAAAATCATTTATACCTTTCCAAAAAAGCTAATTTCTCAACAAGATTATGAATTTATAGTCAATTTAGTCCTTATTAATGGAGTTTTAAAAAAAAAAATTATACCTATTGGTCAATTTTTTTTGCCCCCTCTAAGATACGATCTTGGAACTTATGGTTAAGTCTACATATTTTAACTTAATAGGCGTCTTATTAAAATAGACTACTTTGTATCGCATGATAAAACTTGAAAGGGTACATGAGGTGGTGAGGATCCTTTTTAAAAGGTGGAGATGAAGTCATCTTCCTTGGGCCAACTGCCAGAGGGTTATGGCCTTGTAAAGCAAGTATGCAACAGAGAGGCTGCATGTGTCTTGGAAGATTAGTTGTGTGCATTTGGAGGCCTAGATATATCCTTGTTAATCAAAAATCCAAACCAAAAAATGATTAAAAAAATTGTATTAAAGCCTGCCTTCTATTTGTTCTTTTTTTGGCTGTTTGTTTTGGGTCAATCTACTTTAAAAGTAAGGCTTCCATGCCTTGTCCATAGGATCTGTGTCTTCTGTTCCATGTCTTTCAGTCTTTGTGCTCATACTGTTGAATTTAGTTAAGTTCTAGTATAGTAAATCATTATTCTTCCCATGTTTGATTTTTTTTTTTGAGAAATCAGAGGTGCCTATTCTTAATTTCATTCCTGGTTAATTATCTGTTGTTGCAAAGGAAAACAGAATTGGTAAAATTAAATTTTAGTTGGATCTCTTTTGAATGCACTTCATACTTGATGACATATATGAAAATAGACATGCATGTTTTGTTGCACACTCGCTTGAGTTCATCACTACCATAAATCTGGGTGATTTAAATAATTCATTGTCCTTTTACCACTCCTTTTCCATTTTTTGGGGGAAAATTTCAGATGGGTTTTGTTTGATGGTAAGGAAAACAGTTTGTTGTTTAGTTGCGGTGCTTACAGTTATCAGCATCATTTTATGTCTGATAACAATCACTTAATTTTTTGTGAAATTTTGGGGTAATGTAATCGATCATAATTGTTGTAAACTTTATCTCAATTTTGAAGATTTGAACCTTACTGTATTTTTTGCACACTTGAAACATAACAGCAGGTTTTAAATAACCAGTGTAGTAAAAAGGAACAAGCCAATTTGTATCCATTGAGATTAGTTTTAAAGGGGGAAGTGATTTTAAATTTGAATTATGTATGAGTGTGTTAATGTACTGTGTTTCCTTTTCATCCAGATCCCATTGTACTTGATTTGAGGTCGGTGACCTGCTTTTGGAAGGGAAGGGATGAGTGGAAGTGGCAGGAAACGCACTTCTAAGTGGGATCTGAAGGAAGTACCTCAACTTTCACCTGGGGACACGCACAAGGATGCCTGGCCTGGGAGATCAGGCAAGTTAATTCACAATAGGAAATCACAACCTTTGTGTTTTTCTCATGAAAATGCTAGTGGTAATGATCCAAAGTGGTCTGGTGCAGTTGCAGACTATAAAGATGGTGGAGAATTCTCGGATCCCACAATGGAATGGGATGAAGATGGAAGTTACAGCACAAAAATGTCTCCTGGTCTCGAGGACTGGAGGCAACTCAAGCAGCACCACCACTCTCGTAAAACTGGTTATGATAGATCATACAGGTTTACTTTTTTGTACTTGGCATGCCAATTTGTGCACAACTGATAAAATCTTTCTGGCTCTGTTTGCATATTTTGTAACCAAAACTCTAACCAATATTTATATGCAGAATAACACCGATTTTGTTGTGATGCTTGTTTTGCATGGTTTTATATTTATAATTGGAGATGTGTTTTTACTTCCCAAAATCAAATAAGCCAAGTCTATGTCATGGGATGCTATTCTCAGGGAAATTTTTTAATTTGCTGCTACTCCTAATATTGTGGTTAATACAAAATGATGGAATATGCTTTGCTTCTTTTGCCCTCTGACGTTGTCATAGGCAATGGCCCTAGGGGCGAGTTTGGGTCGTGTCATTTCGTGTTTGTGTTGAATATTAGTCTATCCTAGCCAAAATGTTTAATTATTTATGTCGGATGTCATAACACTAACCTGACCTCATGGATCAAAATTTTGTTTCGGTGCATTGTATCAGTTACCTAGGAACGAAAACGTTTTGACGTGTTTTAGAAACGTTTCGACCCATTTCGAAAATAGAATGGAAAAAAATAAAAAATTTAAGAATCATTTTTTCAAAACATTGGTCTAAATATACCAAAATATCTTGAAATACCTTGAAACATTTCGAAATAATTGTGCAAACGCATTGAAATATAACAACATTTTGAAACATTATGGAACACCTTAAAGTATTAGAATTTCGATTTCATCACTGATTCATTTTGGTCTCCTTGGAAACAAAAACGTTTCGGATGTTTCAACTATTTTGAAACGATATTCTTATCCTTGCCCGACCTGTTTATTATTGTGTTGTGTTCAAGTGGACCCTTATAACCTGCGAATTGAAAATTTAGCACTCCCTGACCTAGCTATTCATGTTATTTTTGGGTTCATGTAGAGAATTAATTAATCCTAACCCGCTAATTTCATTTCAGTTTCAAGTCGTGTTATTGTGTCATGTCCAAAATTGGTAATCTTAATTGGAACTCCACTGGAAGTCATCCTTGGATTTTCAAAAACATCTCCATTATTAGTTTCCATATACTGTATTATGTCAGAAGCAACATGTCTTACGAATCCTGAGCTTCTGACCACCTGGAAGTTTAGCTTTACAAGTTTCAGTTACAGTATGTAATTATGAAATGACAAACAATAAAACAACAGCGTAAACATTTCTACAACAGAGTATCAGCTTAATCTTATGTGGTGATTTGCAAATGTTGTTT